GCATCGAGGGCGCGGCCTGCTGTGGAATTCACAGCATAAACCCCGGTGTGGCGGATCCTAGTGCGGATCTTAGTGACACCTATTCATAGGAGAGCTTTGAAGCCTGAAGCAAAAGAGGGTTCGTAAGGTGAGTTGTGGCAGCGACCTTCCACAATGCCCCAGACCGCTCCTCCCGGGCATTTCCTACCCCTCTCTAGAGTCTTCAGCTCGCATGCACGTAGAACTTCTCGGCCCTTGTTTTAAAACAATCAAAACAGCAAAACCTCGCCAGCATCCCGATCATGCAGGAACCCGTAAGTCAATGGAAAGCGCGCGCTCAAGGTTCTCAACTACCGCGGCGGTCACCAGTGACCAGTGTCGCGCCCGACTTAAGAAAAGTCCGACCATATGATTAAATAATAACGATGATAAAACAATAAAATACCTGTCGGGGACCTCTAGCACCGCTCCGATGCGGCTGACGGCAAAAACCAAGGGAAGTTGCCCCGTCGGGCCCAACCCCGCGGTCGCTTCGCGCTACTCCGATATCCCCGAATCGTCGCCGCTCGATCTCAATCCATGAATCTTCCTGACGAAAGTCCAACACTGTAACTAATAGTACTAGGCCCGAGTCTTGGTCTAACTCTGACGGACACCCGAAATAAATCAATACTGCGCGACGTGCAAACCTACCAAAACGATCTCAAAACCACATGGTTGTCGATGTCGTCCCTTGTACGTACGCACAACTCGCAGGTAAGCACTTCAATCAGATGACAAAATGTTTTTAATCCTAACTTAAGCAGAAATAAAAATCTGGCCGGTGATCACGCCGACTCTTCAACCATCAACAGTAAAAAGATCACGCGTGCCTCAAAACTGCGCACCCACACACTCTCTATTCTAGTCAACCAACCAGCCAACGTAAAATCACAGACACAACCGCGCTTCGCAGGATATACCTAAACTTTAAACCAAACTTATTTCCTGTCGTTTGCAAAACCCAGGGCGGATACCCTTGTAAGGGTATTCGCACCGACAGCGTCTATCTCGGTGGTTCGCGGTATTACTTACACGTTGTCCCCAAGTTGTCTCTTGTTTGATTCTGTTTTTTCTCCTGAATGACATGGCCGAGAGGGCTTTCACCTTTTGCGAAAAAAACACAGAAGTTGATGCGCTCATACATTTAGACAACCATCGACGTTTATCAAATAACGCCTTATAACGGATAAGAACCCAATATTAATACTCAACTTCATTGTCTATTGTTCTAGAAAAACATCGCATAGAAATCAATGTTTTCCTACAAAGCACCATTGATCAACAATCAATCTCATTGACTCTTGGATGAAGTCGTTACTATCATTGTCATCCCCATAAACACCGCTATCCTCGAGATTGCAAACCTTAGCCGCCTTTCTTACCAATTTACCAAACTATAGAAGGACGCGTTTGTCGGCGATATCGAAGATCGCTTGCAACTTGGTAGCATACCCAACTTTTTTATTTTGATCGTAATTCATACAAATAAGTCGTTTATGTGTCAGTTGGGAAACATGATTTCATCCATTGTGGTATCCCTAATATGGGTCATGATACCAGTTTGCGTTTTCCTTAACATCAAAGTCTTCCGAGCGACGACCTTTGTACGGCTAAGCCGGAGTTTCTCCATCAAATGAACATGACACATTCTCGTGCGCACAGTTACATGCATGGTTAGGGTAACCACCGAATGACTATCCATGATAGGTTTATCATCGGTCTGCTTTCTCATTTCAAGAATTATCAAATTACTAGTGTCTTTAGTGATTACTTCAAATTCAATTATTTTCGTTGTAGTGCCCAATGTAGAAGGTGAAATTTCTACAACTTCGGTTTTCCCCTTGTGGTGAGGCTTTTCCTCATTAATGTTGTTTTATATTTTTACGTTGATGTCTTCATGGTTGTATCTAAATTCTAACAATAATGGGATCTTTACTACTTTTGGGTCTTTTCGCATTGCAAATTGTTCCTCTAAAAGTCATTGCTTTTCGATTATCCTCACCTCTATTTATTCTTGTGCGATATACTCTTCCTCCATAACCCTCCTTGCCTCATCCTTCTTTTTCTTCTTTTGTTCCTCCCCTGCATACTCCACTATTTCAACCTCGAACAAAATGACATATTAAAATGAAACACCTCGACCTAAATCTCCAAGTCGACTTCTGTTTGGGTTCTTCTGATGGTGACCGTTGATGAGAATTTGGATACTTGGCAGGTGATACGGATTGGCCACGTCTTGCAAACTCAAGTAGACACTTCTAACCATCTTCTTTCATTTGCATTTGAGTGTTCGTGTCAGGCCAGAAACACCAATAGTCGCTTCAATAATGCCATACCACCTTATATCCAAAGCACATGAGTGGTGGTATTTTCGGTGGATCTCCAGTTATAGGTGCAGTCTCATCCAATAAATCACGATAATAAACTTCAAGGTTTTCAACCTTTTGTGGGTGGTTGCAACTTGCTTCCAACAACGCTAGAGTAGATACTGGTCAAGCTCCAAAACTGATGAAAAAATTGCAATTCACATAACGTGCTTACGCATCCTAGCTTTATTACTTTAGGTAGTTTCACACACGTCTTGAGAATTGGCTAAGGTAATTACATTGATTATAAATGAAAACTACGTATTAATGCAACTACACTAATGATGTTAATGACACATAATGGAATTAAATTAAAAAACCTCCTGTATACGTGGGTTCCCAAACCCAACCAACATAAGTTGAGCAACCATCACAGGCAACTACAAGCTTCAAGATAATCCCACCCCCCAATAATCCGGTCAGATAATCCGACAAGATTATCTGCCTAAATAACCCGTGCTACCAAGTAAAAATATGAAGAAAAAAAAAAAAAAACCCTACAATCTTCCCCCGAACAAAACACATGTGCATTATTTACGAATAAAACATACGGGGTTTGTTGTATTCGTATACAACGCACGTACGTTATACTACAGATATAGGGTATCAACTTTCAAAAACGCCTCCCCCCCCAAAAAAAAGTATATGCATCGAACAGGTCCCTACAGTCGTCCGCAAACAGGACCTTCAGGTAAGGCAGAGAGAGAGAGAGAGAGAGAGAGAGAGAGAGAGAGAGAGAGAGAGAGAGAGAGAGAGAGAGAAATAGAAAACAAAGGACTGCATGGCGCACTGCAGGCAGGAAAGCGCGTTCGTTAGAGAGAGAGAGAGAGAGAGAGAGAGAGAGAGAGAGGGGGGGGGGTTCTATATGAATAGAACATCCGTGTGTTCGAATAGAACAAACGTTCGTCCTATTCGAATACAGCATATGTGAGTAATATTTCAACGTACGTACTATTTGGATTTCAGGGGGCAACTTCGATAAATCGAGTTTTCCAGGGAAAGTTGAATAGTACATACGTGCGTTTTGTTTGGGGGAAGACTGTAGGCTACCCAGACTATGTTGGACTGCCTGGGTGGTTTGGCCGAACAAATTTTTATGAAGAATAATAATTTTATGTACAATATATTCAAGTTGCTTTTCATTTTATAAAGTTTACGATAGTAATAAAAATTATTAAAATTTTAAAACCAGTTCAAATCACTTAACGCAAATCAACACCTATATAGTGAATGAAAATATATAACTTTATGACAATATATGACAAGTAGTGGAACAACAAACACAATAATTGAAAAACTTTTAAAATTGTGAGAATAGCAATGAAAATAATATTCAAAGACATGATTAATGATAAAATTAAGGTTAGAAATGGGCTACCAGTCGGGACGCCCGCGTCGCCTAATTTGCCCGGGCTGTTAGGTCTTGTAAGAACCAAAAGAGGTCCCAGCAAAAGAAAAAAAAAAAAAAAGAATTGCAAAGCTGCGTAGCATCCTGTTTGTGTGCGGCCGTAGAACGCAAACGGATCCCCAAAACC